GCCCTTTCCCAGGTCTCCATGTCCTCCCCCAGGTCTCCCTGCCCTCCCCTAGATCTCCATGTCCTTTCCCAGGTTTCCCCAGGAGCTGAATGTGGGAAAGATCAGTGCTGAGGTGATGTGGAGCCTGTTTGCTCAAGACATGAAGTACGCCATGGAGGGTGAGTCTCTGAGCCCCGGTCAGGCATCAGTTGCTGGCGCTCTGGAGCCCCCAGGCCTGAGCCTCTGTCCTCCTGGCAGAGCATGACAAACACCGGCTGTGCAAGAGCGCCGACTACATGAACCTGCACTTCAAGGTCAAGTGGCTGTACAACGAGTACGTGGCCGAGCTGCCCGCCTTCAAGGACCGGGTGCCCGAGTACCCCGCGTGAGTTCCCACCCGGGCCAGGGGGTCCCCAAGACCTAAGAGGATTCCGGGGCCTATGAGTGCCGGCCCCCAACTCCCTGAGGCTCAAGACTGAGAACAGACACCCCATTGGTACTGGGGGAGCAGCTGGGCCACGTGGTTCAGGGGTCAGGGCAAGAAGGAAACCACTGTGTTTAAACGAGCCATGACTGAAATATTTTCAGTCTGCAAAGGTTGACAGCCCTCCTCCTCCTCTTCCTCCTCCTCCTCCTCCTCCTCCTCCTCCTCCTCCTCCTCCTCCTCCTCCTCCTCCTCCTCCTCCTCCCTCTTCAGAGTCATCCTCAGGTACAGAGTGAGTTTAAGGGTAGCCTGGGCTACATCAGTCCCCTATTTAAATAACTGTATTAAAGAAACTTTAACCAGTACAGGGGTGGCAGCTGGGGACAGAACCCAGTTCACCACTTCCCGGAGCTGGGATTACAGCCTGCACCCCGTTAGCACTTCAGAAGCAGACCCAGTAGCCAGTGGGCGGGGCTGGCATACAGTGTCCCTGAGGGGTGTCCCAGCTGATCTGTCCCCCTACAGGTGGTTCGAACCCTTCGTCATCCAGTGGTTGGATGAGAATGAAGAGGTGTCCCGGGATTTCCTGCATGGCGCACTGGAGCGCGACAAGAAGGATGGGGTAAGGAGGCGCTGGGTGGCGGTCGGAGGCCGACGGCGTCCACTGTGCGCGTCCTGCTCGTGGGCGGCCTCCTCTGTGCAGCTGTGGGATGTGGGGTCGTCCTCCAGCCCAAGGCTGCCCTCCTCCCGTGGCCTGGGCCACCCCAGAGCTGATGCGGCGGTCGTGGCGTCCTGTTCCTGCAGTTCCAGCAGACGTCGGAGCACGCCCTGTTCTCCTGCTCCGTGGTGGACGTCTTCTCCCAGCTCAACCAGAGCTTCGAGATCATCAAAAAGCTGGAGTGTCCCGACCCCCAGATCGTGGGCCACTACATGCGGCGCTTCGCCAAGGTGCGGGACGGGTGTGTGTGTGTGGGGGTTATGGGTAGGGAGGGCTGGGGCTCGGGGTGGACTCCAGCTGGAGTGCGGTGGAGGCAGCCCTGTCTAAAGTTAGGTGCCGGAGGTTGGGAGGTTGGCGTTTATAGGGAGGCTGAGGGGCGGGGCCACTCCAGCAGGGAGGCCAGATCCAGTGAGGGGCGGGGCCACTCCAGCAGGGAGGCCAGATCCAGTGTGTGCAAGGTTCTGGAGTCATTCCCAGCTCCACAAAAGAAAAGCCAAAAAGGTAAAATGAGGCAGATGAGAAAAAGGAACTGATAACTCTAGAAAAGCAAAAAATTGAGGAGGGATAGTGAGACGTCTCAGTGGGTGAAGGTGCCTGTCACCAAGCCTGGGGACCCGAGTTCTGTCCTGCGTCCCTAGGGTGGGAGAACTGAGGTCTACAAGTCTGTCCTCTGTCCTACACAGGCACACATGATCACATGTTCTCTCTCTCTCTCTCTCTCTCTCTCTCTCTCTCTCTCTCTCTCTCTCTCTCACACACACACACACACACACACAAATTAATTAAATTTAAAAAATCTAGCTGGGCTTGATAGTGGTGGCCCTTTAATCCCAGCACTTGGGAGGCAGAGGCAGGTGGATCTCTGAGATCAAGGCCAGCCTGTTCTACAGAGTGAGTTCCATGACAGCCTGGGCTATACAGAGAAAACACACACACACACACCACATCTTTGTTGGTGTGGTGGGTAGCTCAGTGGTGGAGAACTTGCCCAGTGTGTTCCAGGCCTGGGGTCTAATTCCCAGCACCACACAAAGAAAAGTTAAAACAAAACAAAAATAGCAAGTGTGAGAAAAAAAAAAAAAAGCAATTATCAACTCCAAGGAAATCAGAAAGTTGGGGAGGTGAGTGTTCCAGTTTGGGATGATGGGCTTGGGGCTGCAGGCCGAGTTCTGAGTTGCCGTGTGGCTCTCCAATGTCGGGGCTCACGTATACCAAGCTGGCTCCGCTTGGCTTTGACCGGATGGTCGTTTAGCTGGGAATTAAAGGCTGGCAGGCGTCTGGGTTCTGAGGGATCAGGAGTGATCACACTGGTGATCAGGAGTAGGTTAGTTAGGACCACGGTTGGTTCCTTCAGAGCAGAGCAGGGCTCCTGGGTGATGGTGGCCTTGTATGTAACTCAGACCAAGGCAGGAAGATCAGAGTTTGAGGCCTGCCTCGGCCACCTTGTCTCAAAAAAACCGGGAGTTACCCTAGAGTGAACAATCCTCCCAGGGGAGGGACTCTCTTCTGTGTCCTGGTGGTCATCCGGATGGACAGCGGTCCAGCCTGATGTCCGCCCCACACAGCACAAAGTCACCTGAGTGTCTACAGTGGATGTTGCTGGTACCTGGTACCAGGGTCCCCGAGAGCCCAGCCCTCACCTGTGTCTGTGTCCCTCAGACCATCAGCAATGTGCTGCTGCAGTATGCCGACATCGTCTCCAAGGACTTTGCCTCCTACTGCTCCAAGGAGAAAGAGAAAGTGGTGACCGGGGGCGCCCGCCCCACCCCACCCCACCCCTCCCGACCCCAGCCCTCCTCACCCCACTCAGCTTCCCTCAGGGTCCAGGGGTCCCTTCCTACCCCAAGCTATGACATGAGGTTTAGGGCACCAAGTTCTGCTGAGGGACATGGATCTGTGGGGACTCGTGCGATTGTGTGACGGTGTTGACGGTCAGTCTGGTGTCTGGGTCTGACAGTGTGGCTGTGGTGCTGGTGCTTGGTTATTCGCCTGGTTGGGTTTTAAGACAAGCTCTCACAGTGGAGCCCAGGCTGGATTTGAGCTCCCCATGTACCCCAGGCTAGCCTTGAATCCCCAATTCCCCTGTCTTCACCTTCTGAGTGCTGGGGTGACAGCTGTGTGTCTCTGTACCCAGCTGTTTTGTGTAGCTGTGTGGAGGATTGGGTCACACATGTCTGTGTTGGAGCCTGTGAGTCTGGGGGCGTCCTGTGTGAGCACGTGAGGGTGAGGACATGCTTCCCCATGAGTTTGTTTCCAGCGGAGCCTTTGGGGTGTAGCGTCAGCAGTATCAGCAGAGGCAGGAGGACCCCAAGGACTTCCCACTCTTCTGTGGGACCCGCTGGCCCGGCATGTGTCCCGGGGGACCTCCCCCCAGCTCACGCATGTCCAGGGCTATTGCCTCCCCCCCTAGGGGACCCCAGTTTCCCGGTTCCCCGGGAGTGGTGGGGAGTCACCAGCCTGACTCTCGCTCCCCCCAGCCCTGCATCCTCATGAACAACACGCAGCAGCTCCGGGTGCAGCTGGAGAAGATGTTTGAGGCGATGGGCGGGAAGGAGGTGAGTGATGGGCCAGCTAGGGCGGGGCTCCCCCATCACCACGAGTCCCTGCGATCGTGGACAGCAGGCTTGGGTGTGCAGGCAAACCTACCGGGGAGACCTGGCTGCCTGTGCCTCAGTTTCCTCCCCAGCCCCCCAGACACCTTCCCAGGGACATGAGAAAGCAGGGATGTGTTAAGGACCTTGCTCCCTCAGCTGGACGCCGAGGCCAGCGGTACCCTGAAGGAGCTGCAGGTGAAACTCAACAACGTCCTGGATGAGCTCAGCCACGTGTTCGCCACCAGGTGGGGGGCATCTCCGGGGCGGGGACCCTGAGCCTTGGGCAACTCGGCTCACACCAGGGGCAGAGTTAAGGCTCAGTCAGGAGAATTGGGAGCTCACATCTGGCTTTCCCATGGCCTGGTTGTGTGGCTCAGGTGCGTCCCTTACCAATCCGGCCTTAGTGAAGATGTCACCGGTGACCGTGAAGGAACTCCCGGTGATGGGGACAGGAACCCAGGCCACAGATCCTCAGGCCCACCCTCTGGGACGCAGGGCCCTGGTTGAGCGTCTCTCCACTGTCCCCCAGCTTCCAGCCACACATCGAGGAGTGTGTCAAACAGATGGGTGACATTCTGAGCCAGGTGAAGGGCACGGGCAACGTGCCTGCCAGCGCCTGCAGCAGCGTGGCCCAGGATGCAGACAACGTGCTACAGCCCATCATGGACCTGCTGGACAGCAAGTGAGGGTGGAGGGGGAGTCGGGCTGGGGGGGTCAGGTTGGGGGGAGCAGACCTGTCATTCCTGACCAGCTGCTCCTGTGGCTGGAGGGTGGCACAAGATGGATGACGTGAGGGCGAGGCAGGCCCTGTCCCAACTCACTTACAAGGGTGGACAGAGGACAGACGCTTGAAACTGTGGGTGGACAGGTCCTGGGAAGATGGACGGATGAGTGCATGACTGGGTGTGTGGGTAGGGGGTGGGTGAGTGTGTGTGTGTGTGTGTGTGTGTGTGTGTGTGTGTGTGTGTGTGTAGGGGGTGGGTGAGTGTGGGTGTGTGCCACGGACTGGCCCATCGGGGGTACCACAACCGTAGGAGAACCAGGGCTTGGGTAGTCAGGAAGGCAAGGATTCAGTGACTGACAGACAGACAACACACTCAGAAGTGGTTTGAATCTGCTGCAATTTTACTTCTGCAAATCAGTAGTTTATATACAGAAAAGAAAACTATCGAGTCATACAGGGAACAACAAGAGCTTGGCAATCATTCAATTGCATCATCTTTTAAAAACAGCAAGCACACAATTATTAATCGGCGCTAGACACATCCCTTCACCCCCAGGAACTTTATGACCCAAAGAACAGCCTGGTCTCTGAACTTAGCACGGTCCCTGGCCGTGTGCAGACTGGCCGTGTGCAGACTGGCCGTGTGCAGACTGGCCGTGTGCAGACTGGCCGTGTGCAGACTGGCCGTGTGCAGACTGGC